TTCTTTTGCATTAAAAGACCATCATCGCCATCTACTGGTTCTTTTGTGGAACCGCGTTGAGAAGGAACGCATTAGTCGTCATAGCAACCTAAACCTCTCATTTGAAGAGTGAGCAGCATCTGGTGACCACGTAGGCTTATGCTATTCTCTTAGAATACTTGTTGTTATTCACTTATTATATGTTATATTATTTATACACTTATTAGAAGGTAAATATCTAACAATATTTATATTTTAACCCAAAACGGAAATGGTAGGCTACACATTTGCACACATATAATTCAATGCATGTTATGATTCAATTTCTTGAAGCATTTCGATCAATCTTTCAGATAGGATGTAGAAAAATAATTCAAAAACAGTTAACGTACTCACCCAAGCTGCCAAATCAATGATTTTTCTTGAAATTGACCAGGGCACTCCAGAGGTGAAAAAAATAATAATAACGAACTTCCACCTATAACTGCTCAGGTAAGACCATGTTTTCACAGTTTGTTGTTATTGTTTTGAATGCTGAAAACGGCCATTTTTGTGAAGGTATAACGTTAATTTTTTATTTTTTTTTTTAAGATGTGTGAAAAGTAGCTAATGGCTTTTAATTAGCAATACATTAATAAGCAAAGGTCGCTGTCAATATATAACACAAATTCTCTGGTAAAATACAATGTAAATAATTATCTGGTTACTGCACAATTATACAGCTCTGAACTGTCTAATAACGGTTTTCATTTTTGGATTTTTCCTGCATGTTCAATGTTTTGAGCTGGAGAAACATTCAATAAATTGGCTACATCATTTTATTTACATTTTATACAAAAGCAATATTTTATTATTTATTTTTTAAGTCTTTATTTGTTTGTTTATCTATCTATAACATATCTGTTCTATTGTCTGCTTAGGTGTCAGCTCAAAAAACTTGGCACATGGAAACTCCCCATGGAGATTCAACTTTTCAGACATTCATGGCACTCAAAACAGCCACACAACCTCAGCTTCCAGCGCCATGGCTTATGTTTGACCCGCTCCAAATGATACCCAACAAGTAAGTTCAATCACATCATATAGAAAAGCACATGCAAGAGCTGGCCTGCAAACAAAAATATACATTTCTCCATTTTCAGATCTCGCAATATTGTCAAGAGGACCCTCAAAGACAAGCATATTTCTAAATCAAAACTTACCCATATGTTTGTGCAAATTGTTGAGTGGATAAGAACAGTGTCCATGGATGTGGTCCTTCCGGCTCTAGTTCTCTGTCTGCGAGAAGAGGAGAGCATGATTTTGGAAGCTAAAACGAGAGCTGAAGAGTGGGAGAAACTGAACATTAATGTGCCCTACAATAGTAACTGCGCTCACTGTGTCGGCCCTATCGCTTCCACTGACAGGACTAGCAATGGTGCTCACATCTCAGGTGTTGAGAGTGAAGAGGCGGGCATCATTGGCATGACTGTTTTTGCACGAGTGATGGATTTCTTACACTGCAAATATCTATTAAACATGTCCGAAAGGCGCTTTCTGGAAACTCTTGAGCCATCAGACAGCTTAAAATCTTTAGACTGCTGCCTCAAGCAAGAGTTAATCCATATGTTTAATAAAGATCTCATCAACTGCGTTTACCAGGAGCTCTTGACTAATGACATGGGCAAGACATTCCCTGTCGATTACTTGTGCTTGGAGCTTTTGCGTCAAATGTTCACTGAAATACCTGCGCGCTGGGAATTCTACATGGACGTGCTTAAATACTTCTGTCGGTGGGCAGCAGAGAACCACCTGAAGTTGTTCTTGAAATTGCCACGCACACCACATGAAGATCGCATGGAGGAGAACTGGCACTCTGTTGGCCCCAGGACCATGACAAAAGCTGAGAGAAGAACTCTGGACATCCTCAGCAAAACAGTGACTGATATGATAATGAATATCGTGGATCAAGCCACTGAAAATCCTCTGCGGGCTGCTGAGATAGTCAGGCAAGGTATACAGTACATGCTGTTTTCATTCACTTGATGTGTATGTACAGTATTCACCTCTAGTGACTTATCTAAGAGGTCACTATGGTGCCTGTAGAGACACTAATACCATAAATCAAACGGCATATAATGAAATACTAAAAATGCTAGATAACATAAAAAAACAATGCAAGTGCATTTAATTAAATTTAAATATTTTACTTTATATTTTGATACAATAACAATATTTATTATATTTTATTTTTATATACAACAACATTATTCTTATTTTAATTTATTTTAATACAACAACAGCAATATTTTTATTTTATTTATTTTATAGACTCAAGCAATATTTTTTATTTTATAATACAACAGTAATATTTTATTTTACTTAATTTTTTATACAATAACAATATTTTTTTGTATATTTTATAATATATAAAATAATATTAATATATATTAATAATATCAATATTATATATTTACAACAAACAATATTTTTTGTATTTTATTTTATGATACAACAGCAATGTTTTTTATTTAATTAAATTTTTGTGATTATACAAGCAAAAACTTTTTTTTTTTAATGCAACTGCAATATTTTTAGTTTACTTTATTTTTTGATACAATAACAATATTCTGTTTATTTTATGTATTTTTTAAATTATTTTATTAATCTAACATATCTATCTTTTTTTGCCACTGTCTGCTTTGTTCCTGGAAAATCCCCATGATTTCAGTTTTCATAATTCATGTCAACTAAAACAGCCACACTACTACAGCTTGCAGTGCCATTTTGTACACATTCTAAAGTAGATTGCGAATTTAAAAAATAGTTTGCTGATTCCTGTTGTTCTTTTAGGGAAGAAATCAGGTGCACAATCTACTGAAGAGTCAGAATTTTGGGGAAGTAAATCTCCAAAGCCTGATATAGTGCCTGAGAATGAGGTGCTTGGACCAAGTTCTGGAATAAAAGTGGAGGACCTTGATTCAGAGGAGGAACTGGAGCTTGAGGATGTCGTTTCTAAATGCTTTGAGGAGCTGTATGAGCTGAAAAGATTGAAAAGTGAAACTCCAAAGCCTTATATAATCCCTGAGAATGAGCTGTTCACACCAAGACCTGGAATAAAGAAAAAGACCTTCGATTCAGAACAGAAGATGGAGCTTGAGGATATACTTGATGAAGCTCCATTTGAAAGAAGCAGCCAGTCAGGAACAGAAGAAGAAGAAATAACTGAAGCCTCTCAAGGTTTAACTTATTTGCCATATCATCTTGTAGAAAGTGTTGTTAATGGACTGCTTGCCAAATTTGAGGTTGCTGACATTTTTGCCATTTATCTTTCTGATGCTCTTGTCTCCAATCTGGTAAAGGGACTAGCAAACCTGGCAGGAATTAATGTTGCTACCTGCAGTCTTAGAAATAAGTGCCTTCCTGATGAGAATCATATTGTTTTACAAATTGTAAATGAAGCTCATGGTATCCTGGCACATAAGAACTACTTGAAGTCAGTATGGCATGAAAATGAAATAGCTGTAAGCTATCTGACAGCTGTCCTATCTGCAGTTATCCTCGACTACACACTGGTGCGTCCTAAGGCACGAAATAATGGCTTGACCAGCGAAAGCTTAACCTTATGGAGATGGAAGGCTGGGTCCTGCACACCTAGAATTAGTAATCAGTTTTCTGTTGAAAAAGAGCTGATGCATGATGACACTGATTCATCTCTTTGCAACGCTGCTCAAGCTAGCGCCAATGAAATGAGCTTCAAGGATTGTGACCAAGAAGAAATAGATGAAGACCCGAGACCAGACTGTCATAAATCTGCTGGTACAGCTTTTAGAGATGTCACTTTGAAAGCAAAGAGAGGTATTCAAGCCTCCCTTTCCAAACTCTTCTTTTTCAAAAGCAAGGCTAGTCCGCGAGTTGGCCCATGTCCTCGAGGAAGAAAAAAATAACATAGAAAAACTGAAAATTTTTACCTGAGAAACTTCAATAAAAAAAATGTTAATTTGTTGGAAAAAAAAAGAAGAAAAAAAAACATTAATGTGGACTTTTTTTTTTTTTTTTTTTTTTTTTTTTAACTGGAAGAATTTGGACACATACAATCACACTGCTAAAGATTTATACACAGCTGTTTTTATACCTACATCTCTGCAACTTATTAAATACGTACTAAATTAAATATTTATAAAGATATTTAATTTATTTTATTTTTACTATCTTTGATTTATAAATGTAAACACTTTTTTGATCATTGTACGTATATTTAATAATAACTAAATATATGGGTCATTCTGTGTCAAAATCAACCAAATTTAAAAAACGTCCCAGCTCAAATTTTTTTCTGAAGAAAGATAAACATGTATAGTGATAATGAAAGCCAAAATATTGAATGTCACGGATGTATATTTACTGAGTAATCCACTATTTTGTAGAAAGATTTGTAGCCAAATTGCAGAAAAGGACAAATGAGTTCAGAAAGATGGCAGAATTATTATATTATTTTTACACAGAGATTGGTAGGTCTATTAGTACAAATCTGTTGACTTGTCATATCTTGCATTAAATGCCAATGGTGACCATTCCATTTGCAACTCTTTTATAGCTACTTTAATATTTCTGTTTTTCAATGAGAAACTATGCAGGAACTTATTCATTGCGAATTTATTAGATTGTCTATACCAGAATGCAGCCAGAACTGAATCGGATGACATTTTTTCCCAAAAAAATCATTTTTTCTTTGGAATATTATTGATGAATCATTGCAGAATAAGGCCAGGAACTTGCATTAAGAAAGTATATAGGGTCCATTTTGATTCAAATATTTACAAAAATATATTTAGAAGAACTTCAGAATTTAAAACATTTAAATACGTTTCTTTTGAGAAGCAATTGCATTAAACACAGTAGGATCGGTTGTATTTGGATGTGTTGTTGTTGTTGTTGTTTTTATACCCATATATGCTTTTAAGAATTTTTAGAACATAAATCGTTGTTCTAGTGTTTTTTCTTTATCGTCTTTATTTGATTTATGTATCTATGTACTTATGTCCAGTAGGTGGCGGAGATGCAGCTCGAGTAAGTGTGCCAAACTTCATTCAATAGAAAAGTAGTAGAAGAAGAACTTCGCTCATTTATCAACAAGAAGCCGGTGCTTTCGCCGACGTGGACTTGGTTTAATAGTACTTATTTATTATTAACTATTTCTAGTAGTAATAACAACCTTATTATTAACATATCTATTTAATCATGTGGGTTCTCTTTTTGGAAACGTAAATAAAACTTTACCGATAGACTCTAGAGTTAGCCTGTCAAAGTGGGATTTGTTGAACTATGCCCTGTCGTGTTATCCGCGTTACACTGCTGCTCTCTGTTGGGATACTGATTCATGTGACTAAAGCCGATGAGTTTACTGAAGAAATTAAGCCTCCAGACTGGAGAAAGACTCTAAAATCCATCCGGAACGGGCTTCAAAAAATAGACAAATACCTTAACGTGGCTTTAGACCTGGTCGGAGGTTCAGACGGACGCTGTATCTTTAAGTGCAATGACGGTAGGTCAGTTTAAACATAAGAATTCTGTCTTCATCATTGGGTTTAATTGGTCATGGGATTTGGCTCTTTATAGGATACACACCAGTTCCTCGTCCCAGCTACAAATCACCAACACCCAACGGATGCGGATCCCCACTGTTTGGATTTCAGGTGAAGAGAGAAAAGCTATTACTCGTATTGCTGAATTGTGGTTTTCAATAATACGTATTGGGAGATATAAATCGATTGCTTCTCTAATTTGAATACTGCTTATTCTTTTAATATTCTCTCTGCCTCTGACTTGTGCTGTGTTTGACTGCAGTTTGATATTGGGCTCCCATCAATGACCAGATGCTGTAATGAGCACGATCTGTGCTATGATACCTGTGGAAGAGAGAAAAATGACTGTGATAAGCAGTTCCAGGTCTGTCTGGAGACCATTTGTAGTCATTTACAAATGACACTGGGTTTGTCCCAAAGTGTTCAAGGTAAGTTAAAACAAAGTAAAGGTTGACCCAATTTAATTTATTAAATGGAAACGGTGTATTTTTCAACTTGACAGTCTTGCTAACAATGTGTATGTATATATATTATATACACACATATATATATATGTGTATATATATTATATACACATATATATATATATAGATTTTTTTTTTCATTTGCATATCCTATTGTATTTCTTGTACATTTTGCTGAGGTCAAACCTTATACCCATATTTGATTTCACAGCCTGTGAATCAGCAGTGACTTTGCTCTTTGATACTGTGATGCACTTGGGATGTAAGCCATACCTGGATAGCCAAAGATCATCCTGCATTTGCCACTATGAGGAGAAGGCTGATCTGTGAACAGCTGATAGGTTTATGTAGAGGTTTGATTGTTTATTGTCTCAGGGTACTGCAAGATGCAATACAATTTGTTTCTTCACTTTGTATGCATTCATTGCAATGTCATAGTTAACGGTGTATTTTGTAATTACAGAAAAATTTAAATTATTTAATATGATTATAAATGTATACATACTGATGTGCCTTATATATACACTACATTTATACAGTCGTGGTCAGAATTATTGGCACCCTTGGTAAATATGATCAAAGAAGGCTGTGAAAATAAATCTGCATTGTTAATCATTTTGATCTTTTATTTTAAAAAATTCACATATCTAACCATTCATTGAACTAAAACAATTGAAAATGGGGGAAAATCTCATTATGAAATAAATGTTTTTCTCAAATATACGTTGGACACAATTATTGGTACCCCTAGAAATTCTTATGAGTAAAATATCTGTGAAGTATATTCCCATTCATATTTACAATTTTGAGCATACCAGGGATATTTCCCCCCATTTTAAATTCTTATTCTCCAATGAAAGGTTAAATTTGTGATTTTTTAAAATTAAAGATCAAAATGATTAACAATGCAGATTTATTTTCACAGCCTTCTTTGATCATATTTACCAAGGGTGCCAATAATTCTGACCACGAGTGTGTAATATATAAACTTGAAAAGATTAATCTTGTGGAAAAGACTTGTGAAACCTTGACGAGCCAATAATCTGAATCAGTAGACACATATGTGGAGTTCATATGTTCAGGTGAGCATGATAATTTAATGGAGATAAACTTCAAAAGATCTGTACACAACTGTTAACCTACAAACGTCACCCTGACTTCATTAATATTATAGTTAACTAGAAATGCCAAATAGTCATAGCAAGAAGAGCTTTAATAAATCAGAATTTTAATATCAAAAGCAATGAGTAATAGAGTGAGCCAATAGACAAATTATACCTTAGCGAATGAGAATGTTTTCACAACAGCCAGTGGCTAAGAACTTTATCACAGTATGTCCAGTAACCTCACACTAAAAAAAAAAAAAAGATTTGACATAATTTTACATGCCTTTGATTTGATCTTTTTTATCAAGAAAAAAGTCCACATGAAATTCCATTTGCAACCCTTTTGTTCTTTCATATTTCTGCAAGAACTTATTCATTGAGAATTTATTAGATTGTCTATACCATAATGGAATCAGAAATGAATCTGATGACATTTTTTCCAAAAAAATCATTTATTAGAAGACATTTTTTCGAATCATTACAGAATAGGGCCAAGAACTTGCGTTAAGAAAGTCAATAGGGTCCATTTTGATTTAATGTTGACTTTAAATATTTACTGAATATTTTTATATTAAGATTCTATATCATCTATTTATATAGAAAATAAAGTCCTTTAGAATGTAAAACATTTAAATAACAGTTTCCTTTGAGAAGAAACTGCATTAAACACTTAATAAACAGTAAGATCAGTTGTATTTGGGTGTGTTGTTTTTTAAACCCATAGTGAAGGCCAGAATGAAAAAAGGCAGGTTGTTTTAAGAGAACAGCAACAAACCAATCAAAGCAATAATATGCTATCTAGTTTAGTCTTGGGCAATAAATGAACAATAGTATGAATAAAAAGTTGTAATTCCTTGTAATATGTCTGTTGATCATGTCCAATGTGAGAATTGAGGTTGCTCAATCATCTTCTTTTAGTTCCTCCAAAACCTGCACCAGAAAACACCATAAATAGATCTCATTTCCAAAATACACATCTAATTGGCTTCTGATGGCTTACTCATGGCATTATACAGTACAGTGACATTATAGGAGAGAAATGTGCTTTGAAATAAACACAAAAGCACATCTGGAATCTGTAACTAAATTTGCTATAGATTACCTGAGGTGGTCCGTGTTCCTGAGCTTGTTTTTGGTGCTGGAGAAGGTCGGTTGGTGTAAGATGGTCCTGCGAAGCCCATGGGTGGCTGGCGTCTAATATCAACATAAAAGTCAGGTGAAGACTGAGCTAAAAATTACTGCATTTAGATTTACATTAATGCTGTTCGCTTAACAGATCATTTCTTACCAAAAAGGCCAAAACTGTTATGATTACCAACAACATTTGCAAATAGTCACAATACCAATGCTGTGTATTTATTTGATGTGTGGTTAAGCGAGTTGTGCATACTGTAGTAGAGAGCCTATGAATGATCAATAATGACAATTGATATTTATTTTGGGAAATATGGAGCACTTGAGAATATGATCACTTACTGGTCTTATGCAATGTATCTTATTTTTGTAACTTTTTTCCTTTATGTTTCACGAATGTAACCACTGTGATCTTTTGACTTGACTGCCCTTCTAGTATTTTACATATCAGGGATATTTATATTTGACATCTTTTACATTATTTTGCTTCTTTTTGTACCTCAAATTGAAGTGTATGCCTTGTCAAAAAACGAAATAAAGGTTATTAAAAAATATGTAGCCTTGATACATACAAGTGCTTGCTATAAGTAAATTATGTGAGGATATGTTGCTTGCTTACCTCTGATTCCCAAACAAATATCCCAGAATTCCACCTGTGCCCATTCCAGTCCAGAATCCACCCCCACCACGTCCACCAGTGTTTCCACCAGTGAAACCGGTCCAAGAACTCTGAGGTCTGGTGTACGCATCAGAAAAGCCGTACCCGGGCCTTGAGCTGGAGTGGTCTGCTGAGAGAACCCACAAAACAGGAAATATTACACACTTCCCATAAATAAATATGCAAATATTATGCACATTTGGTTACACTTAAGACTTTCAATGTCATCACTCACCCCTCATGTTGTTCGAACCTGTATTAGTTTCTTTATTCAGTGGAACACAAAAGAAGATATTTTGAAGAATGTTGGTAACCAAACAGTTTTGGTTCCCATTGACTTGCATTATATTTTTGACCATACAATGGGAGTCAATGGGAAGTGAAACTGTTTGGTTACCAACACTTTTCCAAATGTAATTTGTGTTCCACAGAAACAAGAAAGCCATACAGGTTTGGAATGACATGATTGTGAGTAACTTTCATTTCTGGGTAGCGGATCCCTTTACGTCTATAATAATAATAGAGAATGGAATCATATTGAAAATGACAGACAGATAGATTGATTGATTACCTGAGTAATAATCTGGTTTGAATCCAGGCGGCGGTGGCTCCATACCCTGGCTGTTATCCCATGTCCCGCCGTATCCCTGGGATCCATCTCCACTGTAACCTTGGTGGCCGTGAGTAGGACTGCACAGAAACATCTTGTATACAGCATATGCCACCAGCAAAAGGAAAGCTATCACTATAAGCCCACCCACTCCATCACCAGACGGCCCATTCTGGAAGGGATACTGGCCGTTAGACTGTTGAGAATGGCCTCCGCTCTGCTGCTGCTTATGATTGGAAAAGCCTTGGAAGAAGTTCGAGGCAAAGTCTGAGAAGCCCGACGAGCCCCCGGAGCCGTGCGTGTGCTGCTGCCTCCCTTCTGCCGTGAGCTCCAGCGTGTACTCCAGACCGCAGGAGCCTCTCAGCACATATGCGTCATTGGGACTGTTATAGCCTTCACAGGAGACCTCCACGCGCCCAAACCTGTACGCGTTGTCCATGTCAGCCTTGCATTCCCACTATAAGAAGAGAGAGAGTAATACTATGAATAGTGTAGAGACATATAGTATGCAAGAGGCAGTTTTGGAGTCTTACCTGTGTGTCTATGCCATCTGATCCTCTGTTGTAACACTGGACCACCTCAGGAACGAATGATCCACAGCCAGCTGATCCTCCGACACACTGCAGCTGAGGCACAGGACTGGAGCGCCGTGCAGTGGTGTAGCGTCCTCTGTGGAGCGTGAGCACCTGAACATCACGCAGTAACACAGCCTCTGTCGCAGGAAAAAAAGATTTGATTAATATTTCTTCTTATCTGACCACACCCCCAAAACATTTGGTATCACACAAAAGCATCGGATGACCTCTTTAAGAAACAGAGATTTTATAAGATATTTCATTTATATTATACTTAAATATATATATATATTAATTATATTTAATATTGAATTTTCCTTCTGGTTCATATTATTTACTGCATATTTTATATATTTTATTGTCATTTTAATAAAATATATTATTTATATTATAATTTTGGCCACACACACAACTTAAAAGAAGCACCAACTCTTCTTTTTAAGATACATTAATTATAAACATATACATAATTTATATTGTACATATATATAATATCACGATTAATATTTTTCTTATAAAATACTCATAAAATATCTTAACGTTTATATTATCATATCTGTCACACCCCCAAACTAATTCTGTATTACATAAAAGTAATATTAGTAAAATATTATCACAGCATGTCACAACTTCCACTAAAGCTGCACATTTAGAGTGAAACTTCAATGCAAATACTGTATAAAGTAGATCTAACGCGCACTTATTTTACTCAGACTGACGACCAGTCTATCTTCTCTGATATCCTTGACTTGATTATGATTGTTTATTTCGCCGTAAGGTTCATATAAAATATATTTTACCATCATTCCAGCAGCTGACGTGAGGTATAATCAGCAGCAAGAAGTGCAGAAACAACACTCCGGAAACAAAGCTCCTCATTTCTCCCGTTATGATGGAAAATCTCTTCTTTATGCTTGAGTATTGAACTGGATTGAAATGCCTCACTGTAAGCCAGTACGTGGCTTTCACCAATAAGTGAAAATAAAGTCTGATGTAAACAAATGTAACTGACAGTTCAGCAGCGCAACATCATTCTTCTCACGCTACTTCCGCTTCCGTGTTTCTGGTGAAGTGCAGATGAGCCTCTCATTATCGCCATCTACTGATAGGTGCATTGAATTACATAACATTGACCTCCAGTAATAAAGAGAGGTGGTTTTTAGAATGCCAAATTGTTGAAAATGTAAGATTCTATTCTAGTAGTAACTTTAGTATCCTCGCTAAAAGGTTTATTTACCGTTTATCCATTCGAGTTAACATTATCTGTTTCAAATCACACCTGTTAGCAGTGAACTCGTCTATCTTTTTAACTACCTATTTATTTCATAAGATGAAAATAACCATTGGAGAGGACTATGTACCTTTATTTAGCCTACATTTTTGCACTAATAACAGAACTTTCATGTCATTTTTCAAAACTCTACACACATAATTCACAACCGATGATCAAAATGCACATTCATTGAACTAAAATCAAAATGACACAACTTAGCATCAAAGTAACGTTATTCCTATTTCAAAATACAACTCACGCATTACATCTGAGTTGAGTGTCTATTCATTTCATTACGATGATCTAACTATCAATTGATACAACTGCTCAAAATGCTACATAACTGTTGCATTACTCTTGAAGCATAGTTTTATGGAAAATGATGAACAATATTAAATGTTTAGATAATGAAAGCGAATCAACTGAGGACTCAGTTTCAAGATGACTGTTGTTGGGAGAGAAAAACAACTCTATATCATTGTTATCAGTATTTGTTTTTCCGACAATACGTAAATGTCTTTTTAGAGGGTGATAAAGCTGGAAGCCGAAGCATTGTTCAATACTGAAGCCACATTTTCAAAACTGTTCACACATTCAGCGATACAGAAGTCTATGCGGACCAAACTGTGAACCATTTTTTTATTGCTTTCAGACAAAATGCATGCAATGACCACATTTTTCAAAATCCACAAAGACTTTTGTCATTCATACTCTAAAATCTGCAAAACACTATACATTTTCAGCATATTTTTCAAATGCTAACAAACTGCTTTCAAAACTGATAAAAGCTCATTCAAATCAAATCTGTCCATTTCTGCGGGAATTATATTGAAATAGAAAATCTTAGCAGAATATTTGGTAACACTTTACTTGAAGGGGTGTGCATAAGACTGACATGGCACCTTCATAATCATGACATGACACATGTCATGAATATGAAGGAGGTTTTATGCATGTTTATGACAACTGTCATTAAGTGTCATTCGCTCAGTTATGTCATTTTTAATGTCAGTCTTATGCACACCCCTTCAAGTAAAGTGTAACCGAATATTTATTAAGAAATTGAATAATAATTATTCCAAACGCAACTAACTGCAATTTCAGCTGAAAGCCAAGCCAGATGTCCTATTTTTAGTCTTCTTCTTGTTCTTTCTTTCTTTCTTTTTTGGTTATATTTTAATAAATGGATGGCTTCGGAATGATTTTGTTTGGAAACATGGATCAAGGAAGACATTGGTTTTTTAGGGGAAAAAAAGTGGCAGAGACAGGGAGGACTAGAACCCCCACAGTGCTGAACATCCATCCATCTATTCCATACATTTTCCAAAGCACTTGTCCTATGTAGGGTCATGAGGAGGCTGGAGCCTTTCCTGGGTCATAGGCAGGAAAACCCTCGGGACAGATGGCCACTCCATCACACGCTGTAAAAAATTATTGTGATTTTAACAGTAAAAGACTGTAAAAATGCTACAGTAAAAACCTGTTAACTGGTTAACAATAAGTTTTCATACTATATACGGTGAATAAATGTTATTACATTTAATGTAATTTCACAGTAAAATACTGTTAAAAATACGGTTTTTGGAAGTGAAAAAGAAAAAGTAATTGAATAATTTACAGTGAAAAACCGCAAATTGACACTCCCAGAATTCCCTGCATGACACTTCATATTTGATGTTTTTTTGTTGAACTAACATGTTTCTTCTTACTTTTTTCTTATCAGTTGTGTACATTAGGGTTCAATCTTACATCTAATGTTGTTAAATTAATGTGTATTGCATTATTTCAGTATCATGTGTGGGGTTTAGTGTTTGTGTGAATGACACTGTGCACCTTCTATATGAGTATTGCCCTCCTCAGCTCATAGAAAAGCTGTTTGTGATGAGCTTTGGTTCATCATGTGACTTTCTCATCACCACCAGTTTTTGGTGGTTATCAGTTCATTACAATGGTTCAAAACAGATATTAACACTTAAAATATGTTGGTTTATTAACATTACATCAGTTAATGAAATACGGTATTTTATTGCTACCATATTTTTTACAGTGAAGTTCTGGCAAACACAGCTGCCGGTATTTTAACATAAATATCACGGATTTTTTTTTTCTTACAGTGCAGGGATGACACTCACTTACAGTCTCCAGTTCACCTGTCCTGTATGTCTCTGGATTGTGAAAGAAACCCAGAGGAAACCAACGTCAACACAGAGAGAACATACAAACTCCACACAGAAAGGCCTCCTGGAGCAGCTGGGACTCCAATACTGCACATACTTCATTATACTAGACGTGCTGTTGATGGGGTTTTGTCTTTTTTTATTTTTTTTTTCACAAGTAAGTTTTGTAAATGTTGATGGGTTTTTGTTTTTTGGTATGTGTAATACCAATTGGGGGGGTGTAATACAGTCAGTAAAATGTAAAGATGTTATTCTTATCCTATAATGAAATACTTATGTGACAAATCATTCAAACTTCAAGGATAAAAGTTCATAGTTATAGTGTTATAGTGTTTTTTTAGACCAGTGTGTTATGAATGAAATTTATATTTTCTGAATGAGAATTGTTGCCAGTGTTATGGCACGAGCTTATTTTGAGACATATATGAAGTGTTTTGTTGGTCTGAGTGAGTTTTGGAGGTGAGATAAACAGTTTGGCCAAGATTCATGTTGGTAATGCAGACTGTGTGAACAGTTTTGAAACTGTTCAGTATTGAACAATGCTTGTTAGCAACTGAAAAACAATTGTAATGATTCCAGTGTCTGTACTTTTCTCTCTAGTCTATTACAATGATGTATGAATGTGTAGAACCATAATGAAGCTGCATCATGTGTTTTGAACAACTATATTTAATGATTGTACTAAAACTACACAGTGAAACTATGGGTATCTTGTTTGTGGGTGATCTAAAGTAATGTTCCTATGATATTTTATAATAAATCTTCTTCTTTAAAGATATGAACGCAATATGCAAAGTTTTGAACATTCGACAGCCTGTGTTACAAATAATGACTGTTTTGAGTTTTGTGTCTAGTTTTGAAAAATGACATCAAGGTTCTGAAAAAATTGGTGACAAAATGATTGTTAAAAAACAGTAATATCATATAATATAAAATGATGTAATATCTGCTGCGATAATTATTGTTTAATCTCAAAACAAATGTTAGTGGGGGAAAAAGTGCTAAACCAAGTCAAGACAATATTAGCTATCCAAATATTAACTAGCCAAAATTTCAGCTGAGCGTATGAAGTGGAATTACAATTTATCATACAAGTATGACTTTACATCAATTATGATTATTTTAATGGCTTTGCAAGCTTAAACTTGCTTTGTATTCATAGATTTACATCAAAGACTGTATCGTCATCTCAAAGTTCTCAAATGTAAGTGATATTTTTCCTTTTCTTCTTCTAATGTAATTTTAATAATATATCATCACATACTGTATTTATCATATTGGCCACACCCCTCAACAATTTTGTATTACATAACATTTCTCAGTTTTTCACATCACAAAACAAAGTTTAGGCACTTAAGCTCAAAATGAAAATTTCAAATCAAGTAAAGTATTTATGATTTTTATGATTTTTCCCCCCCCAAAATCATAAATACTTGACGTAATACTGCTTTAGTGTAAGTTTAGAAATAATTTTATTTTGTCCATCACTCATGTAAATACACAAAAATTAATAATGGATAGATACATATGTATTTAACTAAGAATACCGGTCAAATGCAAAGCTGTTGGGTGCTCCATTCCTTTAGTACTTTCACTTCCAAATTTCATTCCATCATCCGAAATGATTTAAGACAGGAATGAGAGATACAGGCAGGGATGAATGATCGGTAAAGAGTTCTGCAAAGTGCACTGAACTCTCTCACACATCTACTCACATTAACACCAGCTGGCAGCTCTGATAACAGTAGAGTCTGTAAAAGTTCATGAACACTGCAGTCTAGACAGATGATGATGCTGAAGATGATGATGACGAAGACACCCTTTAGCTCAAGAAATGACAGCTTTTGCTGTAACTGATTGTGAAAAGAGAGCGATAACTGGTTCTCTATAAGCAGAGAATGTATTGTACTATTCATTCATTCATTGGATTTCGCCAAACGAATCACACCAAATTAAACCTCAGTCCCAGAGAATAAATATATAAAATATCGCATTTACAAATAACAATTAATGTGGTTAATTATATTCAATAGTACAGCGAGCACTCCAAATCTTTAGAGTTGGATACTGATTATTTGCAGTTCTACACTTTAAAACAATATTGGGCCTAAATTTAAGATTTATGTAGTGACATTGCATAGAAAAATTCCATCCATTTGGATTACAGAGTTTTAACAAACTAATGAATGTAATGCATATTTGCCAATTATGCATGAACGAAAAGAAACAGGTTAGAAAACTGCACTCAAAAAAATCATGGCATAGTTATTATTAAATGTTTGCTTCTATTTGATTTTAAATAACTTTTAAAATGCATTTACTCAAATACAACTTACTCAGGCATGGGCATGGTTAAAATATGATAGCTATGGAACAAGCAATATTCAATTAGTTAAAATACATGAAATTGAAACAAATTGGATTTTTAAATATATAAACCTGGTTATTCTGTGTTCGTACTATTACAGAAATCTTACCCGTTTCATTTACGTATGAATGACAAATATGCATCTGTGTTATTTGAGTACCTATTAGTGTTTTTAATATTTTGAATTAGTTATTTTTGTATTTACCATTTTCATTTTATTTTTAATATTTTAGTAATTTTGTTGTGTTTTTTTGTCATTTTTTAGAAGTCTATATAGGTTTTATTACTTTTAATTAAAATTTTTATTTTTAGTTATTTTAGTACATCAAGTTAAATTAAATGAAAATGAGAAATGTTTCATATTTTATTTCAGTTAACTTTTATTGTATTTCAAGTAACAAAAATATTTTTGTCGTTGCCGTTTTAGTTAACCTATAATAACCCTCATATGCATTACATGAAGTTTATTAGTTTGTTAAAACTTTGTCATCCAAATGGACAGAAGTTTTATATACAATTCGACAACATAAATCTTAAATTTAGTCCTAAATATTTTGTTAAGAATAGATTTCTGACTACGTCTACAAGTCTATTCAATAAAAGATATGATATGCTCCGAATGAAAATGCTCAAGTAACAATCAGAAAGGACCAGCGTTCAGGCAAAGCAAATATAAAGCTTTGTTTCAAGTTATTGTGCAACACAAGGCTTATGATATCATGAGCTTTAAAGCACAGTCCCAGGATCGTGATTGATTTATTATTGCATATTTTCACCAAAGGTCTTTTCCTGAGTCTGTGGACACTCCCCATAGATGTCCACCTCCTCACTGGATGTTGTGTCTCCTTGCTCTTAAAGTCCATCCTCTTCATACAGCGTATTAAATATGGCTAAAATCTACAGTACATCAAGTCTACATGTACTGCTTTTGAGAGTGCATGCAGAATATTGCACTACTTTCCCATAACAAACTTCGGGACTTCGGTGGATATAAAGATGCAGTGCCACAGCGCAGCTGCGGTCAAGCTCTCATGTTATCATTCGGATGCCCAATAAATAAGAGTCTGTTCCCAGAAAAAGAACAAGGGCGTGTACGATAAAGGAATCAAATGGAGACCGGGCAGATGATGATCTTGTCCTCCAGCATTACGCTGACCACCAGGAACACAAAGTAGAGCAGGAACATGAAGAAACCCAGCAGCTTGCTCATCTTCCACTTGCACACAGCGATGGAGATAATGACGAAGAGGAGCATGAGGAAGAGCAGAACGATGGTGCAGAACAGGCCGTTGCTGCTCACGGTCACTGGAGTCAGGTCGTTCAGGATTGAAAAGACCAACCATGGAAAAGGCAGGCTGGGGACAGTGAACAGACACAGGGAGATGTTTCAAAGGGTTGTTTTACAGTAGGGAGTCTATCACATGATGATTCTAGTGTTACTGATGAAGATCTCTCACCCCACAGTGATGTCAAATATGTTGGAGCCGACTGAGCTGGAGACGGCCATGTCGCCGAGACCCTTCCGGGCAACAATAACACTGGTGATGAGATCAGGAATGGAGGTACCAGCCGCTAGAACAGTCAAACCCATGATCTCTTCTGTGATTCCAATAGTCTCACCAACCTGTGGGAGAAATTTGTACTGGGTGTTTGAAACTTTCCATGAAAATACTATGATAAAACGGTATTAAATTGGCATTAGCCTCAGCTGTCGTCAAAGATCTGTTTGAAGGAGATCTGACATTAATTTATTATGATTTTACTCTAGTAGCACTACAGGTATCTTTGCAAGGGCAATTTAACATCACTAAGATCACAAAATCACATTGTTTTGGCCAAACCACATCTATAGTTTGTGGGAAATAGAAATCCCAGAGAGCACTGCAATGAGCTAGGTGAAAAAATCCATTCAGGATGACAGAGGATGGATGAAGAGTGAGAAATGTTATTTATAAATGTTTATGTACATACTTTTATAGTATTTATCTTTATGTTTTCAATTTTCATTTTAAGTTTTAGTAATTAATTTTTTTTATTTCAACTTATTTTTTATTTCAGTTTCAGCTTATTATTCCAGTAATTTGTAAAGGCAACAGTCCCAATTACATTTTATTTTTAGGTTTTTTGGTTCATATTTCTTATTATTACTTCAGCTTTATTTCAATGAACAAAAAACATTTCAAAGCAGTTTTTAGTTTTACGTAACAATAACAACACTGTACTGAAAAAATTGTAAACCTAAAAATGGTAACACTTAAAATAACTGGTTTTATTAAAGTATATACAAAATATATTGACTGTACCAACCTACATACAATTTCTTAACTTTCTTAACCAACAAAATTAATTTAGAACACAAATGTATAGGTTAAATCAAGTAAGTTAATAACCGCAGGTTACCATACCATAGAGTGTTGTAAACCACAATTTTTGAAATGGTACCATGATAAGTGTATATAAATGCCATTGTACACTGTATAAATAGGGTTATCATATTAACATATAGGAATGTTAGAATTTTTGGTATTTCTCCATCTAGTTTCAAACTTTTATTATCAACAGAAACTCAGAGTACTGATTTACTATGTTAAGTAACCATAATCGATTTTGTTGTTTCTAGTTCTGGTAGAGAACCTTTAGATGAGTTTCTACAGAGGGAGCTGAAGCAGAGCTAAAGAACAGTTGTCTCTAAAGGGAAAAGACAAGAATAGCTTTTGGCTTTGGCTGGTTTTTAATGTACGTCGCTGAGATACAGATTTACAGCAGAGATCACTCCTCTATCTCTCGCACTTACTTTCTTTTTTGGACATACATACAGTATATGCCAGAGCATTACTTACAATAATATAAAAACCACTGGTGAAAGGAACTGCATTATAACAGAAAAGCCCAGGATGTGTGAAACTGGTTGAGTGTGTGCTATTGGTGAAGTGGAGGTACCTGATGAGCCCACCAGACCATCAGGTAAGAGAAAACAGCAATCCAACAAATAGATCCCAAAAATGTGATCGGAAAGAACTTTACTGATGTCTATGGAACAAGAGAGGATAGAAGGAAAAATGAGGAAGGGACAGCTTGCTATTGAAATATTTTAAAAACAGCAGTCCGTTTGTTTCAACACACTGAAGACACTTTATATTGACATACACTGAACAAAATTATAAACGCAACACTTTTGTTTTTGCCCCCATTTTTCATGAGCTGAACTCAAAGATCTAAGACTTTTTCGATGTACACAAAAGGCCTATTTCTCTCAAATATTGTTCACAAATCTGTCTAAATTTGAACAAAAGTGTTGCATTTATAATTTTTTTCAGTGTATATTATCTATTTGACTGCACTGACACTATCAGATAAGAACAAAACTTGAAGTGAATTTAACTGGATGATCAAGCTAATGTCTTCATTAGAGCTGCTTTATAGCTAAATAAAATTTGTTTATTTTGCATTAAATGGATGTAAAAAAACTCAAACGTACATCTCTGCGGACATCTGGCAGCGACAGCCACAATGGAAAGACGATGGGGAAGATGAAGAGGTATGTTGCTTGCTTCCTCAGTGTGTCTGGCCAAGCCAAGCTCAGAGGCTGGTCTTCATCTTCCTCCTCTTCAGCCTTTGAGATTAGAACCACAAAAACATGATGTCATTCAGTTGCCTGTGATATTGTAATATTAGAATATTTTTCTAGGCTTGATTGTGTTTATGGGGTGCAGTCTAACATGTGTTAATGCTTCATTTTGTTAAAAAAAAGCATTTTTTTTCACATAATTTACCATTATTCCACACCGCTCTGTCCCTTCTCTGAGAAACGCGCTGATCATTTACTGTTTTTATGAAGCCCCGCCCTCTGAAATAGGCGATGGGCTCTGATTGGTTAGCTAGCCCAGTGTGTTGTGATTGGCTAAACCACCTCTAGTGCGCGT